TGAAACCGGAAGTTCTTTAGAAGTTCGTTCTTGAAACAACTGTGTTATTCGATTTACTTCACCCATTGTCTGTTTTTCAAATTATAATATGCAATGTGATCTATTTCTTCTACTTTCTCGAGTAAAGTTTTCTTTTTCTCTTATCTTCTGCACTGTTACAGGCATGCCATAACAATGGCAGTAAGTGAGAAATGAAAATAGTTAGTATCACATTCTCTCCATTTTTTCTGTTTAATACTCACGCCAATATAAAAGCATATTTTTTAGATGAATGAAAAAAGAAGAGAACAAGTTTACATGTCTTCAACAAATAGTCTACTCTAACTGGAGAATAGTCTGAAAAAATTTGCTTAGATGATTCGTTTGTTATCAAGCAGTAAAACATGAAAAGTCATGAAAATTGTCTTTCTCCTCATATCTATATTCTTTTGTGCTTGAGCTTTGGAATGATCAAGACCATTAGTCGATATAGATATGAGAAAAATTTCAATCCAATATGCTGTTCTTTCTTCAAGAAAACTAACATTCAGCAGCAAAACAGGAAATTTCGCTTAATAACTTGCAAGATTCGTAACTCCTGCTAGAAGCAACTTCCACCCGAACTAACTTAGGGTATATCACTCCTAGCTATGCCCTCTCTAACCATCATATCCCCGACTAAAAAGCTTTTTGACACCTCGGGTGGTTTCCTCATTAGAGAGCTTGGCTAGTAGACGTTTGGTATACAGTTTACAAACAAACTTATGATTGAAATTGACTATCGATCTGTACTTTGGTTTCGAATAATGGTGTATGAATGCTTGTGATATTCTTTTTAACGCTCATTTGTTTCACTCTCAGATCGAAAAGAAAAGTAAGCAGATACAATAATAAATGTATTTTTCCTATATTCATTCAACTAATATTTTGTGAAAGATTGATTTTTTTTCTATAAAAAATATATGTTTTGTTCAATTGAATCGACGTATTATTCAGATGACTTCATCCAAATATGTAAATCTTGTTCATTTAACATCATTAACAGAACTTCGACATGTTACTTACTGGATGAATCAAAATGATTGCAACATCGGCTATTTTGCAAATGCTTTAGTAAAAACAAATTATAAAGTCTTGAATTTTGTTGCAAAATATGTACCATGGAAATTTATACGACAGTTAAAGTAAAAGATTATCTCGAGTTGTGATTATTAATTTAGAGAAAGCTAAAATGAAGAATGCATAAAATGCTCTCATTTCATAGTTCTAAAACTGAATGCAAACGCTACAAAATATTAAAGTTCTCTATCTAAATGAAGACAATTGTAGAAAAACTGATTGTTGAATAGTGTAATAAGGACAAAGTCATCATCTTGATGTTAGAAAATCACCAAAGAGAATTAAAAGTATGTTAAATACGACTTTTGTTTAGATACAGAAAGGAAATGAATTTTGATAAGTGACGAATTAGAACATCTCAGACATCTTTCACTTTACAAAATTAAGTTTTTATGCTATGCCTGTGCAGGAATATGTGCAAAATCTATATTAGCACAGACACTTATTTTACTTCTGATATAATGAAACTTATCAAGATTTCATACATCTTTTAAGAATTCATGAGAATACAGCAGAAAACTCTTGTGATGTCGTTGGAATCATTTTGAGTCATTCAAGATATATATGTTAGTTTCCAAACTAATATTACGTCTAATATCCGACTGAGAGACATCTTGATATTAAAACTCGAATTAATCTGTAGATCTATATCGTATTCGGATTCTTATTGATCAAATAAGTAGGAGTATTTGTGAAGTTATGAATAGTTTTATATACAAGAATTACTTCAATACAAAACTGTCCATGACCACTTCAGTCTTTGCTGAATTCGTTCATCGACGACTTTATGAATTGAAATATCTGTGTTGCCTCTCATTTCATCAATAAGAATGCAAATACGGCATCAACCTACAGACTAACTCAAATTTTAAAATCAATTTACCCTTCAATTCGATATTGAACACATCCAGTGTCAAACTGGGTAATAATTTTTCACTAAAACCTCCATTAATCTCTAGATAAATATTCGATTCGAATACTTGTTAGTGACCTGTATTGAAATAATTGCATTTCAGACAATGCAATCGTCGATGAAGATATTAAAGTAACCGACATCTGTTTAACTAATTATAAATTCTATCAATATTTATTGTTAGTGTGAAGAACTCGGAGAGCGACTTCTATCGAAAACTCGTAGTGATCGTGTTATCTTGGAGTTTTAGAAGAGAATAAAATATTAACTATCACGGACTAATATTTTAGTTTTTACTACAATTATAGAATGCTTATCTCTTCGTGTGATTGAGTACCTTAATGATTTCTGTTACTATTTATGCAATAATTTTAATTGATTTACAAGAAAAACAAAAACACTTCCTAATTTAGCAAGATACATTGAAGAAAAAATAATTAAAGTAACTTAGAAGATCGAAGTAAAAAATATATGTACATAACAATTTTGTATGATAATCGAAAATTTGAATATATATTGTTCAATATTGAAAGACCTATCATTAGAAAAAAAAGTAATGAATCACTTAACGATGCGTGACAAATTGCAGAAAAAATTATGTTTGTCCTTCAGTTATAGAAGACTACTGAAAGAAGAGAAAAATAAATAAATAACAATACTGAAGCAACGATTCTATACAACATTGCTGTCTTCATTTGAATTCTATATAATCAAAATAACGATACATGAAAACACAATCTAACAAACCACCAAAATCCTCACCTAATTTACATAGTCGAATTCGTGGGTAAAAATATCTATAAACATGATCTCTTTGTTGATTTTGTTGTTTTCTTTTTAAGAGATCCAGCAACACGTAGATTTGGTTTTTTTCTTTTTTGTGCATTAGCTATGATAACAATAGGCGTATTTGTTGGTATTGGTGTTGGAAATATTTCGCATTACGGTAAATTGTGTTTCGATACTAATCAATTAATCTATGGTTAATTTATCTTAGAATATTTTGGTCCTTCTAACATTGCGAATTCATCTTTTGCTGTATTCGGAAATGAAACAATATTTCAAAACTCTATTCTAGGAAAATAATTTCGTTAATTGTTACTATTCAATAAACATTGAAAAAGATCTGATTCATCAAAAACAAAACACTCGTGATACTCATTCATTAAAAGAAAACCTATAAACAATCATCGTTGATAGAGAATCTGGAATTTCATATATATTTCTTTATTTTTGTGTTACGTTAAAAAAAGAGAAAGAGAGAGAGAGAGAGAGAACAATGGAAAAAAGCATGATTGAATTAACAATAGAAAGAAAAAACAAACAAGCAAATTAACACTTGATTATATCAAGCATAATAGTTCAAATTCATTTTCTTCTTTGCTTGTACTTCAAGAATAGCATCCATAAAATCTTCATGTTGAACTTCAACTGCACTACGACGTAATGCAATCATACCCTAGAAATAAGAAATTATTTTTTTAATTAACTTAATATATATATATATTTATATGAATATATACATACAGCTTCGATACAAACGGCTTTACATTGTGCACCATTAAAATCGTCTGTACAACGAGCTAATTCTTCAAAATTAACATCCTTGTTTGTATTCATTTTACGACTGTGAATTTGCATAATACGTGCACGAGCCTAAAAGAATGTTGGTACATATACTGTGAAAATAACGATAAAAATATTTTTATTTTTCTCTGGTATCAATGATAATACGATAACAAAATTTGACTACAGAGACCTTCTTCCATTATTTAATCTATTTTTAGACGAAATTCGAAGGTTTCGCTACTTGGTTTGTACAAGAGAATAATGAGTTAAAAGACAAATATTATCCGACTGCTCACGAGTATCTTTAGTTGGAACTTTTATTTTGCTCATAATTAGGACTCATGATTTTCGGTTGAAATTCCCTAATTTAATTATTCTCGTAAAATCCTAGCCGTAAATATAAGCAAGCGATGAATTAAAAATGTGGATGCCTAAATCTACGTTCTTATAATAAACGATAGGAAGATTCAAAATATGGACTGTTTCAATTGACTCAGTTTTAACCTATTTTTAAATTCAATTATTCATTCATTGTCCAAAAAACTTATACAAATTCAAGATTTTACTGTCATATATCAGTGATTTTGATTAATTTTTTTTTCAAGCGAAAAATATTTATCTCACGTGTCGTTTGATTAAAACAATTAGATAGAAAAAAGGGCATATGAATTTAACTAGAGGTAAGCATTGAAACGAGAAAATCCTTCTAATTCCTGAAATA